GCGGAGGACACGTGTTGCAGCTGTCGTGTGAGGCATCCGAGGTGCATGCATGAATTGGCTAAGAATATTCACTGCAAAGACGATATCAGGTCTGGTGATGGTGAGGTAAATGAGGCGTCCAACTAACCGTCGGTAAGAAGCGGGATCAGGAAGAATATCACCATGTGTGTCATTGAGCTTAGATTTTGTTCCATAGGAAAAAGTGCAGGACGAGAACCAAGTTGGCCACTGTCGGCGAGGATGTCCAGGGCATATTTTCGTTGATTAAGAAAAATGCCAGAGGGAGAACGTGCAACCTCAAGTCCAAGAAAATATTTGAGAGGTCCAAGATCCTTGGTTTTGAAGTTGTTGGAAAGAACGCTCTTGAAGAAGGTGACCTGAGAAATATCATTGCCAACAACTAAAATATCATCAACGTAAATAAGAATAATAGTGAGACTGGTGGCAGTGATCAAGGTAAAGAGGGAGTGATCTGCTTGTGACTGGACAAAACCGGCATGAAGAAGAACAGAGGTTAGTTTAAAAAACCAGTTCCGGGAAGCTTGTTTGAGACCATAGAGTGATTTTCGAAGGCGGCAGACTCGTGTCTCCCCCTTAACACAGTAGCCGGGTGGTGGGGTCATGTAAACTTCCTCATCAAGTGTACCATGTAGGAAGGCATTATGGACATCCATTTGGTAAATGACCCAATTTTTGGTGGCGGCAACAGCAAGAACACAGCGTACTGTGGTCATTTTGGCAACTAGGGCAAAAGTTTCATGATAGTCAATGCCTTCCACTTGAGTGTAGCCTTTGGCTACAAGTCTAGCCTTGTAGCGCTCAATAGTGCAAGTAGGTTCAACAGATGCAGTAAGAGCAGTCAAGAAGGAATAATGAGCAGGAGAAAAGCGAGAGTACGATAGATAAGTGCATATGGGGTGAGAAGTACCTGAGAACTGTGCAGCGGTTGAGGAGGCAATGGACTCCGTAGGGATAGTAGAGCAGACATAATCAAGGAGATATGCTGGACGAGTAGTTGGACGACGAGGTCGAGAAGGAATAGTGGTGGTAGGTGGGGTATCTTGGGGTGTGGCCGAGGAAGATAGTGGATGGATGGGTTCAGGGGTGGGTAAGGGAATGATGGTGGAGTCACTGTGACGAGTAGGCATCGTGTGATGAAAGGGAAATTGATTTTCGTGGAAGGTGACGTCGCGTGAGTAAAAAATGGTGTTAGTGTCAAGGTTGTATAGCTTGTAAGCTTTGCGGTTGCTAGGGTAACCAATAAAGACACAACGGGATGATCTGGGTGAGAGTTTGTCGCGATAAGCGCTGAGGGTTTGAGCGTAGCAAAGGCAACCAAACACACGTAGGTGAGTGTATGATGGAGAAGTGTTGAGAAGAAGTTGGAATGGGGTTTGATTCTGTAGGGAGTAACTTGGGGTTCTATTGATTAGATAAGCAGCAGTAAGGACACATTCTCCCCAAAATTTGAGTGGTAGGTTTGCTTGAAAACGAATGCTGCGAGCGACATTTAGGAGGTGCCTATGTTTACGTTCTGCAACGCCATTTTGTTGCGGAGTTTCAACACAAGTACGCTCATGAATGATGCCGTGAGTGTGAAAATAGGTTTGGAGGTTATGCGAAAGGAACTCTTGGCCATTGTCAGTGCGAATTATTTTTACCGATGAGTTGAATTGATTTTTAACAAGAGCCAAGAAATGCGTTAAATGACTAAAAGTTTCTGATTTAAAACGCATTAAATAAATCCATGTAGTGCGTGAAAAATCATCAACGATAGTCAAGAAATAATGTGCACCACAAATGGAGGCGGTAGAATAGCCACCCCAAATGTCACAATAAAGACGATAAAAAGGTGTCGTACTTTTATTAGCATGTTTTTGAAAAGGTAAACGAGTGTGCTTTGAACGCTCACAAACATCACAATGAGAGAGAATACATGGATTATCAAAAATAGTGGGAATGGTAAACCTAGAAGGATGACCTAGGCGTTGATGCCATAGGGTCTTATTATCAAGATGATGAACGGAGAGTGCGACGGTCTTTTGGGGACGGAAGAGGTAAAGCCCATTGCATGCCTCACCCGCTCCAATCAGCCTCTTCGATGGAGGGTCCTGAAAAAAACATTTATCAGATGAGAAAAAAACAACACATGATAAACTTTTAGTGAGTTGAGGGATAGAAAGGAGATTATAATAAAAGGAGGGGACATAAAGGACATTTTGAAGGGTCAAATTGTTGGATAAAATCACATAACCAATTCCTTCAACAGGAATTGTCTCTCCCGTGGGCAGCCTCACTGTACAAGCAATGGGGGGGAAATGTAGACTGGAGAAAGAAGATCGACAATGGCTCATGTGGTCACTAGCACCACTGTCGATGATCCAGTCCAGTTGTAGGTCGAAAGAGCAAGGCAGTGTGGAGGAGTTACCCACGAAATTAGCGGTTGGAGAAGGTGGATGAAGCAGCGTCATTAGTTGCTGGTAGCTCTCCTGCGATAGACCCGGGATGGGGCTGCAGGTGGCATTTACGAGATTAGCAGGAACAATCAGTGGTTTTCCTAGGAGGGATGATTGATGGTGGCGGGGTTCACGGCCAGGAGGGTAGCCAATGAGAAGCCAACACCGATTGCGTAAGTGCCCAATTTTCCCACATTCAGTACATTTGGGAGGGGGTCGATTGTTGTGGGTGGACTTGGCGGCAAGGGCTAGATTTTCTGAGGGTAACTGGGAGACATGAAGGAGACGTTGTTTCTCTTCTTGGAAAAGGATGGAGAAAACTTTGTTAAGGGAAGGGAGGGGGTCCGTGGCTAGTATCTGGGTTCGAAGAGCCGCAAATGAGTCGTTGAGACCCAGTAGAAACTGGAACACACGCTCATCCTCGGCTCTTTTTTCCAAGGCACTAGGATCGGTGGATGATTGGAGATTAGTGAGTTCATCCCAGAGTTGCTTGATGCTGGTGTAATAATCAGGAATGGAGAGTTGGTTCTGATGAAGGTTGGATATTTCACGTTTGAGATGAAATAGACGAGCATTGTTGCCATGGCAGAACCGTGACTCAAGGTCCAGCCATACATCACGGGGATCGTCATGGTAATCCAAGGAATTGGCTAAGGAAGGAGTGATGGTATTAAGGATCCAAGTGAGGACCATATCTTTGGTCCTACTCCACTGGGCATAATCAGTAGAAGTTTTGTCTGGTGCTTTGAGGGAGCCATCAACGAAGCATAATTTATTTTTTGCATTAAGGGCTCGGCGAAGTGCGCGTTGCCATTTGGGGAAATTATCTCCAGTGAGATGACCGGATACAAGAACGAGGCTAGGGGAATCAGAAGGGTGTAGAAGATAGGGAGAAGGTTGGGAAGCAGGAGCGTCTGAAGCCATAGAATTTTTTTTTTTTTTTTGTATGTCAGGATTTCTTTTGCTCTGATACCATGTAAAAGAAGCAAATTGGAAGAAAACTGTTATTCTTTATTTCTCATAGACCAGTATAATTTATAGTAGTACATGGAAATTGATTATATGGAAATAAAAAGAATCTGTCTATTATTCAATTACAAATNAGCAAATTGGTAGAAAACTGTTATATTTTATTTCTCATTGACCAGTCTAATTTATAGTAGTACACGGCAATTGTTTATATGGAAATAAAAAGAATCTGTCAATTATTCTATTACAAATGATTAGCTAAACTTCTGGGATTACTAAAATCATGGGAGCTAAACTTGTGGGATTTTTCTGTGCTGTAATAAATATCGAATTTTATTTTATTTTTAAGTTATTACAGTTTGGTTAATAAAATAAAATCCATTAATTTTTCTAGTAAGATACATATATAACGTTTGGGAGGAAAATATCGTGTACGGTCGACGTGGAGGTTTCCACATCAGATATTCTATTCGAAAACTAATAGAATTAAGCATATGTTTGGTGACCTTTTTTGGGAAAAAAACATTGTTTTAAATAGTGAATATTTGAAAAATGTGGTTAAAAAGTAGGGAATACTTTGGATTTACGTGTAAAATATTTTATTGTGTGAATGCGTCGTTAAAAACGAGTATGTAAAAGAAAAATTTTGAAAGAATAAGAGAAACATTGACTAAACAAGTAACTATAAATTAATTTAAAAGGCAAAGTCATGACTGTTCTGTAACAAAATAATTTTAGAGTGTGTTTGATTGTCATATATAAATGTTTTTTAGAAAAGAAAATGATTTCCTTGTTTTGAGGGGAAAAAAAAAACCTACTCTTCCAAAAAAAATATTTACCTTAAAAAAGGAAAATTGTGCATATTTTCAAAAGTGAAAAATATTTTTAATGGACAAAAATAGCGATCAAACACTTCAAAGTGGAAAACTGACATTTTCCATGGACAATAAATATAGATAAACATTTAGTGATTAAAATGATACTTCACTGCAAGTTGATTGACTATCTGGATTTTTCCCCATTTAATTATTTTTTAAAATATGTTGAAAAGAAATTTCACGAGGGTGGTACTTGAAAGTATTTATAGGTAGTTTTAGCAAGCTTTATTGGAGACTTGTGATAGTGGTGCTAGTTATGGGCAGACAACCTTGTCGTGACAAACTGTGTAAAAAAAGGGGCCATGGATGAAGACGAGAAACTCATTAGTTTTATACTCAGCAATTGCCCATGTTGCTGGCGGGCGTGCTGAAGCTGGCAGGGCTGCGGCGTTGTGGCAAGAGCTGTAAGCTGCGGTGGACGGATTATCTCTGCTCTGATTTGAAGAGAGGCCTTCTTACTGAAGCTGAGGAGCAATTGGTAATTGATCTTCATGCCAGTATTGGAAATAGGTACATCATCTGTATATGTATTTGAATTATTCAAAAGTTGTCTTGGTCAGCTTTCTCATTTTTCCCCGTGCACTCGATGCAAACTTGAAACGAGCTATAGAAAACGTAGGCAGAGTTTTTTTTTACTTATCTTAGACACAATCCATTCTTTAAGTAGGTTCACACGTCACGGTAGAAATTTTTCCGCATGACAAATATTGATTTCTGCTGAGTTATATTGAGTTGTCTTTTGTATATCGTTGTTTTTAATTAACTATGTTAACATTTTGAGCTTCCTCACTATAACTTGGCATGTTGGGCCGTCTGTATAATTGGGCCTCTTAAGTGGAACGGCTCTGACCTCTTTCGTGGTTGAAGATCAGCCATACAGGTGCCTTTACTCTGATCCTTAGATGGTGACTGTTCAGTTGCTTGATATTTGACTTGGTCTTGGCCCCCCTGATTCGAGATACTTTTATTCTTGGGTCTCTTCGTTTTTCCCTTTTCTCATTGAGTGAAAGTTTGGGGGTTTTCTCTTCTCCAAATTTGTAATAGTTCTGTGTGATTATTCAATCTCTTTTCTTTGTGAATATCTGTATATTGTGTACAGTTTTAGGGGTTGATTGTTATGAGATTACGGGTTGTATTTTGAGGTTATATTGAACTTGAAGAAATCGTGAGTTTCTTTATACATCTGCACTAATTCTTGATTTCTTTTAGTAGATCTAGTGCTATATCCCATTGTTGATGCTCAACGGGTGAGTAGGTCTTTGTGATCAAACATCCGGACCCTACGGGGTGAAAAATCGTGTGTTCAAGTCTTGTTTT